CATCAAAAAGCAAAAGTTAATTTGGTGTTTCTTTACTGTTTTATTTTACTGTTTCAAAACAAAGTTGCCTCTTGGAACCTCTTTTCAAAAGTAGCAAGGATTACCAAAAAATATAGAGATATACGTAGAAATATATAAAAGACTTACGGGTTCATGTTCCCCAGGTGGCCTTCTAAGATGTGGTTTTGCTATCACTTTACCCAAGATGCCTAAGCCACCAACACTACCAACAATACCTTTATATTTCCCTCCTACAGACTCCACAATTTCTAAGTTTTATTTACTTAACGGTATATATTAAATAATAACAATGTTCCCATTTTACATGCATCAAAGGCATATTTGCCAACTGCAGCCTTTTAGTAACATGAGATTCAGAATACTATCAAATTTTCTTGCAAAAAGCAAAGGCATTTAGCATTTTAGCCCTAAATATGGTAGCTTTAACAAGGGTAAAGATACGTGTTCTATGTTTTTCAGAATTAAGGGCAACGAATTTCAACACCCATACTCTCTTCCGCGATCCCCAAGCTTTAGAAGTACCGGTCTACGCAACGTAGGCAGCCATATTCAATGGAAAATATCAAACAGCAAGTCCCTACAACACCACCTGCTAGAAAGAACACTCTTCAGACTCCAAAAATCAAAGTGAGTCAGGAGCCAATGGCTTCTACGAGGCAGAATGCTGTAAAGAACATTAAGGCTCAGGTCCAACACTACCAGAATCCCAGGATCCCTAGAAAATGTTCTACAGAAACAAGTTTCCATTTTTATGATGTAAAGGGAGAGGAGACAACTTGACAAAAAGACATTACATTCTGCTTTATAAAGTTTTCCAGGACAACATCTATTTCACAAATCAAACACCCACTGACTTGAACCAAAAGCAACATCTAACGCAACTGTTGTTAATTACAGGATACTGTTCTCTATCCCTTCCATGTAACTGTTGTTAGTTACAGGATACCTTTCTCTCTCCCTTCCACAGCTCTTTTAAAACCTGAATAGATGCTGCTGCCCAAATCGCAGAAAGGGAAATGCAAACATTTCTCCCCCGGCCCTAAATGCCTAAGTTTTCATTTCAAAGAACTATCCCTTGAAGTTCTATGATCAAGCAGACTCAGTTTCACAAATGTAAACTCAAAAACTATAACTCAGGATTGAAAAAAAATCTAGTTCAAAATATGTAGGCAATAAAGCTCAAAATCTTTTAAGTATCAGACAGTAACTAAGCACCTGCTGCTATGTAGACTGCCATTAGTAATAAACCAGTCTTCCCTCTTGGGTTTCTACCCCTCTTCCTGAACAGCAAAAACAGCTTTAGAGGCCATTATTTCAGGAGGTCAGAGCGCACACTGCACAGCTGAGCTTCAACCTGTGTTCTTGGCTTGTACCTGCCAGCAGAGCAGGATCCCTCCACCATCTCACCACACACCTTCTCAACATGAACGCAGACATGCACATAAATCTAGGACATTCTGAAAGAATGTGAAATACTCAGTCATGAGAAATCTTGTCCATACGGATGGGGGATCTCACAGTAGACAAAGGTCTAGCCCATAATGACTGAAAGCTCATTTGAGAGTTAGGAGGGGAAGAAAAATCTTTCCTATTTAGGTAAACTAGGTGAGATAAAATATTTTTTAGTTAACACACAAAGGCTGCAAGAAATTCTGGAGCCTTTCAACAACAGAAGACAGGAAGGAGGACCCGGCAAGCGGGAAGAAAGACAGAGACATTCTGCACTCATTTCTGTTTTAAAAGTAGGTTCCAGACAGACAGACTGGCCTCCTAAAAGAACTGCCTGGCAGGGCAGTGTGCTGAAGAGCTCTGAGCGAGAAGATGCGCGCTTATTTGAGATGTAATCCCAGGAGCACAGGCAGTCACCTGCAAGGAATCCTGGTTAGAATCTCAGGTAGAACCTGAGGCCCTGCGGGAGGCTGGGAAGCCAATGACCAGGATATGCAATAAGCAAGAGATGGTCACAGAAAGTCAAAGCAAATAATATAAAGACGGCAAATGGAAAAATACGTCCATAAAAGGTCGAATCGGGAGGTGCTGAGAGGGCAGGCACAATCCAGGGAAAGGTTAAGTGGCCTTGCTGTTTCCCAGAACCACATGCTGGCAGACAGCGGAGGCAGAAGCGCCTACAGTTCTCTGGACACCTGAAGATCTCTCCAACCCCTTAAAGCCGACAGGACGAAAACTAAACTCCTTGTGTTTCTCCCACACCCCAGCCTCCTCACTCACGCCATCCTCCTAGCCGTTCCCGGGCTCAGCCACCCTCCTGTTCATTTTATTTGAGATGCATTCTCCACAAAAACTTTGAGTAAGAAAAAATAAAGGAATTTGTTTTCAGCTAATTTACGCACTCAAGAGCTTGCTCTCATCTCTCAGTTTTTCTTGGAAAATTTTTGCACAATCCTTCCTTTCCCAACTCACAGGAATGAAATGTGAAAGTAAATGGTTTTGAGTACATTTTAACAATAATCTTCACTTCCTTGTTATCTTCTCTGAAAATCTACCCCTAAAGTCATGCACAGTAACCTTAGTAATTTTTAAATTGGAGAGATTATGTGCCCTAGGGAACCTCTGGCAATATCTGGAGACATTTTTCGTCGCTGTAAATAGGGGAGGTAGCGCCGGGAGCGGTGGCTCATGTCTGTAATCCCAGCACTTTGGGAGGCCAAGGTGGGTGGATCATCTGAGGTCAGGAGTTCGAGACCAGCTTGGCCAACATGGTGAAACCCTGTCTTTACTAAAAATACAAAAAATAGCTGGGCGTGGTGGTGCACGCCTGTAATCCCAGCTACTTGAGAGGCTGAGGCAGGAGAATTGGTTGAACACAGGAAGCAGAGGTTGCAGTGAGTCGGCATCAAGCCATTGCACTCCAGCCTGGGCCACAAGAGCAAAACTCCGTCTCAAAAACAAAAAAAAAAATAGGGGAGATGGTGGTACCGGTCATCTAGTGGGTAGAACTCAGGGAGGTGGCTCAACATCCTACAATGCCCAGGACAGACGCCACAACAAACATCAGCTGGCCCAAAATGTCAACAGTGCCAGGGTTGAAAAAACTCGTTTTAGGAAAAAAGAAAACAAAAGAAATGAAGAAAATGCTTCATAATATAAAATATCCTAATATTCTCTTATATTACTTTTTTTATAAACACAAACAGACAAAGCACACACTGTGTCTTAAAATTCCACATTTAGAGTTAATGAGAACTGATGTTTGTTATATGTCAGGATCTGCAGCTGGGCAGGAGGGAGAGGGCAGGTCAGCTCTGATTCCCTAACATAAACCCCTCCTTACTAAATGGTAACACGACTTTATCTTTGGGCACTGCTCCAGAGTGAAATACCTTACCAATAAACATCAACTCCAGCCTTATTTTTTATTTAATTCTATTTATTTATTTAGAGACAGGGTCTCACTCTGTCCCCCAGGCTGGAGTAAAGTTGTGCAATTTCTGCTAACTGCAACCTCTCCCAGGTTCAAGGGATTCTCCTGTCTCAGTCTCCCAAGTAGCTGGGACTACAGGCGTGCGCCGCTAGGTCTAGCTAATTTTGGTATTTTGGGGGTTAGAGATGGCGTTTTGCCATGTTGGTTAAACTGGTCTCGAACTCCTAGATTCAAGTGATCCACCCGCCTCAGCCTCCCAAAGTGCTGGGATTACAGGTGTGAGCCACCGTGCTTGGCCCAGCCTCATTTTTTAAAACAGGCCCTTTGATTTTAACATTTTCTGCAAAACCAAAGTCCTCTGATGTAAACTGTGATCCAGCTCAGACCAGGCATCTGTTTTTGTCTCCCTGCTCCCGGACTATGTAAAAAATTCCCATCACTAAACCTTCTCATTATTGGGAGAGGGGCGTGAGCATGCGTTAAGATTCATGATTCAGACGCCCCAAAAGTGGTAAAACACTTACAGAGGATCTAAGACCACCACCAAAAACGCCCCTTAGCGTGTGCGGCAAAAATTATAATCGAATGCAAATTATCTTATCAAAGGAATGTCTTCCTTTAAGTTAACAAACGTTCCCTATTACACCTTCCAAAACTGTTAGGGGCGAGTCCGACAGCAGAACGCACGCTGCTCTGCCTGGCCTCTTCCTGTGTTCTTGCTCGAGCCACACACCGCGGTCTCAGGAGTCAAGCACGGCACCTGGCTGCCAAAGCCAGGAAAAGGTTAATTAACACCGGGCCTCTTCCAGGTCAACGCGAATGCGAGTGGATGTGGGCCCCAAGGTCGGCCAGTGGCTGCCAAGGGAAGGGCGGGCCCAGACCACACCCGACCTCCGCACTCGGGGTCCCCTCCGGCGGGATCCGTGGCTCTCAGGGTGGGTGGTCTCCAGCCGGCCACTCCGGGGATGCCGCCGGTCGTGGAAGGACACCCTTCTATTCAAACTCAAGGAAGAAAGGGATCATTTAAATCCCCCGCATAGCTGCGCGCTCTCCCCGGAAGGCTGCTCCAGCACCGCCACAGGGCCCGAGCGCCAGCTCCTGCCTAGTGCACCAGCTCCTGCCTAGTGCGCCCCCGGACCACGTAGCGATGATGCCACCGTGCCCGGGCGCTCCCAGGTGTGCACGCGCAGGTGTGCGGATTCGGGGAGCGCTCCCAGGTGTACACGCGCAGGTGTGCGGATTCGGGGGCGGCTCGCAGTGTACACGCGCAGGTGTGCGGATTCGGGGAGCGCTCCCAGGTGTACACGCGCAGGTGTATGGACTCGAGGAGACTTCCCAGGTGTACACGAGCAGATGTGCGGACTCGGGGAGCGCTCCCAGGTGTGCGGACTCGGGGTGGTGGGGGGCACCCAGGTGTGCACGTGCAGGACTCGGAAGCGCGCCCAGGCGTCCACGCGCAGGTGAGCGAACTCGGGGGGCGGGGGGCGCGCCCAGGCGTACGTATGCGGACTCAGGCCCGCCAAAGACAGGTCATGCCAGTGAACCCCCAAACCCGGCCCACGCTCCCTGCGCCCCAAGCTGCTCATCCCCGACTCACCTCTTCCAGAAATTTGGTCAAATCGTACACCTTGTGGTGCAGGATCAGCCAGGTGCTCTTGCTGTGGTTGTGCTTCTGAATCTCCTCTAGGGTGTAGTACTTCACGGCCTCGTCCGACTGCTCTGCCATCTCGGTTCGCCGCGAGCCAGGCCCAGCACACACAGCCGCGTCGGGTGGAGCAGAGCGCGCGACTCCGCCAGCTCCACCCGGGACATTCCCCGCGCCGGGCACAGCTCCGGGGGCTGGGCGGCCGGCTCAGGGGCGGGGCGCAATAGAAGGACCCCCGACGATTGGCCGTCATCCTTGTCATTCAAAAGTCCCCGCCTTAGGTCGACCCCCTCCGCCTGCCCAAGCGTGGTCCCGCCCCGTGTGCGGGTGTTAATTGGCTGCCGGAGGTGCCCTTCACAATCTCCCGACCGCCGCAGCGCACAGAAGGCGGGACAGGACTCCACGGAGTCTGCGCGGAAGGGCGGGACGAACTGTGGCTAGGGTGGAGGTGGGAGGTCGGGGGCGTCCCAGCGGGTTAAGCGTGCGAGGGAGCGAGGTGTACCAGCGGGCATGGATGGCAGGTGCAGAGTCCATTGCTTGGGAGGGCGGCGACCTGGGCAGCGAATCGCGGGAGTTTCCTATTCGCAGCAGCCCGAGTCCCAGACGTTAATTTGTAACAAAAGTAGCCATGGCCAAGTCCATAAAGGGGGCGTCTCGGGTAGCCCTTCGCATGCACGCAAGAGATGAAAGCCCCGTGCGCGCTAGAAAACGGTTTCGCAACTGACTTCGGGAAGCAAATGCGCTGCGCCCCAAAAAATAAAGTTGGCGAACTGTGCTTGACCTCGCTGGGGTTTTGGAATCCCTCGTCCTCACAGGAAAAAAATCCAGGGAAATCATCTTTTCTTTAAAAAGCAGAAGTGTCCAAATTATTTCTGTGACTGAAGTAGTTTGGCTGCGGTTGGCCAGTGACGTGGCAAGGCCTTGTTTGTGCATTTAAGCTAAATCAGATTCTCTTCTAGGAGTCTGGAAGAGAACCTCCCCAAAGGGCACCCTCTTTCCCTTCTGATGCAGGGAAAATACCACATATAAAGAGCTACAAATGTTTGAAGGAGGAAAAAAAAAAAGAAAAATTCCAGCATGTTAAAATTTGGTATGTTATTTAGGCCCTTTTGAGCAACGGTAGTTAATTACAAAAAGAACCACACTAGAGGTTTCACATGTGAGGTCATCCACCCTTCCAGGGACACACAAGGTTCCTACACATAGTAAGTGTCTGACGAATGTGAGCTCCCTTCCCGCTGCTTACCTCTTCCATAGGAAAGAATGCCTATCCAGAAAAACACAAAACACACACGTCAGGCCTCTGAGCCCAAGCCTGCACATATACATCCAGATGGCCTGAAGCAATTGAAGAATCACAAAAGAAGTGAAAATGCTGAAGCAACTGAAGAATCACAAAAGAAGTGAAAATGACCGGCTCCTGCCTTAACTGATAAGACAATCCCCTGTCCTCCTGCTCATTGCTCCGTGAAAAAGATCCACCTACGACCTGGGTCCTCAGACCAACCAGCCCAAGGAACATCTCACCAATTTTAAATTGGGTAAGCAGCTTCTTTTTACTCTCTTCTCCAACCTCTCTCACTGTCCCTCAACCTCTTTCTCCTTTCAATTTTGGCACCACCCTTCAATCTATCCCTTCCCTTAATTTCAGTTCCTTTCCTTTTCTGGTAGAGACAGAGGAGATGCGTTTTATCCATGAACCCAAAACTCCGGCACTGGTCACAGACTCGAGAAGACAGTGTTCCCTTGGTGTTTAATCACTGCAGGGATGCCTGCCTGATTATTCATCCATATTTCAGAGGTATCTGATCACCACAGGGACACCTGCCTTGATCCTTCACCTTGGTGGCAAGCACCACCTCCTTTGGGTGGCAAGTGCCACCCCAACCCTCTGTGTCTCTACTCTCTTTTATGTGGGCTTGCCTCCTTCACTATGGGCAATCTTCCACCCTCCATTCCTCCTCCTCCCTTAGCCTGTGTTCTCAAGAACTTAAAACCTCTTCAACTCTCACCTGACCTAAAATGTAAACACCTTATTTGCTTCTGCAATACCACCTGACCTCAATACAAACTTGACAAAGGTTCCAAATTGCCAGAAAATGGCACTTTCAATTTCTCTACCCTACAAGATCTAGATAATTCTTGTCGTAAAATGGGCAAATGGTCTGAGGTGCTTGATATCCAGGCCTTCTTTTACAAATCAGTCCCTCCCTAGTCTCTGCTCCCAATGCGACTCATCCCAAATCTTTCTTCTTTCTCTCCTGTCTGTTCCTTCGGTCTCCACCCCAAGCTCTGAGTACTTTGAATACTCCTTTTCTACGGACCCATCCGACTTCTCCCCTCCTCCCCAGGCTGAGCGAGGTCCCAATTCTTCCTCAGCCTCTGCTCCCCAACCCTATAATCCTTCTATCACCTCCCCTCCTCACACCCAGTCCGGCTTACAGTTTCATTCCATGACGAGCCCTCCCCCACCTGCCCAACAATTTCCTCAAAAAGAGGTGGCTGGAGCTAAAGGCATAGTCAAGGTTAATGCTCCTTTTTTCTTTATCTGACCTCTCCCAAAACAGTTAGGCTCTTTTTCATCAAATATAAAACCCCTGCCCAGTTCATGGCCCATTTGGCAACAACACTTAAAGGCTTTACCGCCCTAGACCCAGAGGGGCCAGAAGGCCGTCTTATTCTCAGTATGCATTTTATTACCCAACCCGCTCCCAACATTAGAAAAGCTCCAAAAAATAAATTCCAGCCCTCAAACCCCACAACAGGACTTAATTAACCTTGCCTTCAAGGTGTACAATAATAGAGAAGAGTGGCAATTACTTGCCTCCACTGTGAGAGAAACCTCAGCCACATCTCCAGCACACAAGAACTTCAAAACTCCTAAACCGCAGTGGCCAGGCGTTCCTCCAAGACCTCCTCCCCTCAGGATCTTGCTTCAAATGCTGAAAATCTGGCCACTGGGCCAAGGAATGCCTGCAGCCTGAGATTCCTCCTAAGTAATGCCCCATCTGTGCGGGACCCCACTGGAAATTGGACTGTCCAACTCACCTGGCAGCCATTCCCAGAGTCCCAGGAACTCTGGCCCAAGGCTCGCTGACTGACTCCTTCCCAGATCTTTTTGGCTTAGTGGCTGAAGACTGACACTGCCTGATCGCCTTGGAAGCCTCCTGGACCATCACAGATGCTTTAGGTAACTCTTACAGTGGAGGGTAAGTCCGTCCCCTTCTTAATCAATACAGAGGCTACCCACTCCACATTACCTTCTTTTCAAGGGCCTCTTTCCCTTGCCTCCGTAACAATTGTGGTTATTGACGGCCGGGCTTCTAAACCTCTTAAAACTTCCCAATTCTGGTACCAACTGGGATAATATTCTTTTATGCACTCCTTTATAGTTATCCCTGCCTGCCTAGTTCCCTTATTAGGTCGAGGCATTTTAACTAAATTATCTGCTTCCCCGACTATTCCTAGGCAACAGCCATACCTCATTGTCACCCTTTTCCCCAGTTCAAAGCCTCCTTCACATCCTCCCCTTGTATCTCCCCACCTTAATCCAGAAGTATGAGACACCTCTGCTCCCTCCTTGGCAAGTGATCACGCACCCCTTACCATCCCGTTGAAACCTAATCACCCTTACCCCACTCAATGCCAATATCCCATCCTACAGCACGCTTTAAAAGAATTAAAGCCTGTTTTCACTCACCTGTTACAGCATGGCCTTATAAAGCCTATAAACTCTCCTTACAATTCCCCCATTTTGCCCCTCCACAACCCATTAATCTGTTCTGGATCTCAAAGATGCTTTCTTTACTATTCCTTTGCACCCTTCATCCCAGCCTCTCTTCGCTTTTACTTAAACTGACCCTGACACCCATCAGCCTCAGCAACTTACCTGGGCTGTACTGCCACAAAGCTTCAGGGACAGCCCCCGTTACTTCAGTCAAGCCCAAATTTCTTCCTTATCTGTTACCTATCTCAGCATAATTCTTCATAAAAACACATGTGCTCTGCCTGCCTATCGTGTTCGGCTAATCTCCCAAACCCCAACCCCTTCTACAAAACAACAACTCCTTTCCTTCCTAGGCATGGTTAGGCACTTTCACCTTTAGATACCTAGTTTTGCCATCCTAACTAAACCATTCATTCTCCCCATTTCCCCATATTTACCTCTTTCCTATTCCCCACCCAGACCACACTTGGTTTATTGATGATAATTCTTCCAGGCCCAGTCGCCAATCACTGGCAAAGGCAGGCTATGCTATCATGTCTTCCACATCTATTACTGAAGCTACCACTCTGCCCCACTCCACTACCTCTCAGTAAGCCAAACTCATTGCCTTAACCCGGGACCTCACTCTTGCAAAGGGACTTCATGTCAATATTTACACTGACTCTAAATATACCTTCCATATCCCACCCACCATGCTGTTATATGGGCTGAAAGAGGTTTCCTTACTACGCAAGGGTCCTCCATCATTAATGCTTCTTTAATAAAAACTCCTCTCAAGGCTGCTTTACTTCCAAAGGAAGCTGGAGTCATTCACTGCAAGGGCCATCAAAAGGCATCAGATCCCATTGCTCAGGACAATGCTTATGCTGATAAGTAGCTAAAGAAGCAGCTAGCATTCCTACTTCTGTCCCTTATGACCAGTTTTTCTCCTCATCAGTCACTGCTACTTACTCTCCCACTGAAGTTTCCACCTATCAATCCGTCCACACTCAAGGTAAATGGTTTTTGGACCAAGGAAAATATCTCCTTCCAGCCTCACAGGCCCATTCTAGTCTGTCATCACTTCATAACCTCTTCCATGTAGGTTACAAGCTGCTAGCCTGTCTCTTAGAACCTCTCATTTGCTTTCCATCGTGGAAATCTATCCTCAAGGAAATCGCTTCTCAGTGCTCCATCTGCTATTCTACTCCTCAGGGATTGTTCAGGCCCCCTCCCTTCCCTACACATCAAGCTCGGGGATTTGCCTCTGCCCAGGACTGGCAAATTGACTTTACTCACATGCACTGAGTCAGGAAACTAAAATACCTCTTGGTATGGGAAGACACTTTCACTGGATAGGTAGAGGCATTTCCCACAGGGTCTGAGAAGGCCACCATGGTCATTTCTTCTCTTCTGTCAGATGTAATTCCTCAGTTTGGCCTTCCCACCCCTATACAGTCTGCTAGCGGACCAGCCTTTATT